AAAAAATGATGATCGTTGGCAAACAAAACACTTAAAATGGGTACAAAATGGATTCGAACCACTAACGTTGAGAGTAACAGGCTTGTGTCTTTACTACTGGTCTATCAACGCTTAGGAAGATGGAAAGGCTAAAGGAAAACAAGAAGCGCTCATAGTGTGGTTACTAGTCTACTCACATGTACGTTCGACGGTATTTGCTTTTTTTTGTCCATGCATGATACAAAAAAGAGAAGTGAAGGTAAAAGATGCGATAGGATTTGTTCAAAGGGATTACTAAGCCGACAGTCAATGACGAAGGATGTATGGAAATGATGGTTTTTGTACCGCGACAATTTATTTTTGGTTTTCGTCAAACGTCACTGACCAAACTGACCGTTACCAACTCTGTTGTAGACCTATTAAATTTCATCAATCCGCTAAACCAACTGGGTACAATTAGGTCTAAAACTAGGAAGTGAGGAAAAAGAAGCGTTTTTATTGTTTTCAAAGCAAATAACGAAATTATGTTTCATATATAAATAGGGGGCCTCATAACGAGGCTCGGTAGCTCAGTGGTTACCGTTTCTGCTTACTGAGCAGAAGGTCGGGAGTTCAATCCCAGGCCCGTCCCCTTCCTTGCAATTTTTCACTTTGCCTTATTCTATACCCACTAGATTTTAATGAAAACATATTCTTCTTTAACACCGATCGCATCACTTACCACAGTGTGGGTCCTGATCTAAAAATAGAAATTGAATGAGTGCGCGCGCGTGTGTGTGTGTGTGTTTGTGAATCGCTCTACCAAAAACGATCCCTGCGTGTGCGTGTGCAACCTTTCCCCACATCCAACATCCCAGTGATTTCTCGTGGAAGCGCAGAGGATTTCTCGGTTTCCTTCACAGCGAGTACCACGTCAACACATTCCTTCCCAATCCCTAGTTGACCTGCATTCGGACACGGCCGGCGCTGGTATTGCTAAATATTAGATCTCCAGTTCTTACACATTGAGGATGAATGTTAGTCCCAAACATCATCTGTTGGTTCTCTGTGTAATTGCAGCTGATCTGGTAATAACAGAGCAGCAACCGAGCTGATTTGATTTGATTTTGATAAATAGGGGGCCTCATATCCTAGTCAGTAAAGGCACGGTATTACCAAGCCGGAGGCGGCGGGTTCGATTCCCGGTCCGGTCGAGGGAATCTTTCGGGTTGGAAATTTTCTCAACTTCCTTGGGCATATAGAGAGTATTTTTTTTTAACTCTTTATTTGTTTCAAATTCAAAATAAATTACATTTCATTTTAACCTAGGTGCTCCAGTTACTGCAGTAACTTACCAGCCTTAATTGTTATGATATATAGCTAAGTGTTTTTACATTGTTCATATCTTGGCAATTCAGTATTTTAAACAGGTTTTTTAAACCTGCATGTCAGTATAACAATTGATATCTTAAAACTAAAAACTAAAACTAAATCTTATCTAAGTATAAAGAGAATTAATCGTTGCAATTGAGGATTGCAACGATTTTTGCCTGAAATTATTAATTATTTTGTTGGACATTTGTTCTAAAGTCTCAACATTCGAAATTCTATGTGCTTCGGTAGTACTGTACCAGGGAGGCAACTTCAAAATCATTTTCAGAACTTTGTTCTGAATCCTTTGAAGTGCTTTTTTCCTGGTAGTGCAACAACAAGACCATATTGGCACAGCGTAAAGCATGGCCGGTTTAAAAACTTGTTTAAATATTAGAAGTTTATTCGTCAGGCAAAGTTTGGATTTCCTGTTTATAAGAGGATACAAACATTTTATATATTTGTTACATTTGGCTTGAATGCCCTCAATGTGATCTTTAAAAGCTAATTTTTGGTCAAGTATTAATCCAAGATATTTCACTTGGTTTGACCAGGAAATAGGAACTCCGTTCATAGTGACTATGTAACTACTACTAGGTTTCAAAAAGGAAGCTCTAGGCTTATGTGGAAATATTATAAGTTGAGTTTTGGAAGCGTTGCGAGAAATCTTCCATTTTTGTTAATAAGAAGAGAAAATATTTAAACTTTTCGGCAGTCTGCTGCAAATAACACGAAGACTTCAGGCATAACATTTGATAACGGCACAAAAGCATTTGTAAACAAACTTTCTAAGGCCCTTTACACGCGAACCAAAGTACGCCCACGCAAACCAACAACATCATCGGATAGGGGCAACTATCACCTTTCCGAAAGAGGTATTGGTTTGCGTGGGCGTACTTTGGTTCGCGTGTAAAGGGCCTTTGAAAGTTTGTTTATAAATGCTTTTGTGCCGTTATCAAATGTTATGCCTGACTTCTTCCTTTAGCGGAAATGCCTGTGTCATCAGCGAACAAAGATTTGTGGCAACCCTGAGGCAAATCAGGGAGGTCCGAAGTGAAAATGTTATACAATATAGACCCAAGAATGCTACCCTGAGGAACTCCTGCTCTAACAGGTAGTCGATCAGATTTGGAATTTTGATAATTTACCTGTAGAGTTCTGTCAGTTAAATAATTTTGAACCAATTTCATAATATAAAGTGGAAAATTAAACTTTTTCAATTTAGCAATCAAACCTTCATGCCAAACACTGTCGAATGCTTTTTCTATGTCTAGAAGAGCAACTCCAGTTGAGTGGCCTTCAGATTTGTTTGAACGAATTAAATTGGTAACTCTTAAGAGTTGATGAGTAGTTGAATGCCCATGGCGAAATCCAAACTGCTCATCTACAAAAATTGAGTTCGTATTGATGTGAAGCATCATTCTATTGAAAATTATCTTTTCAAAAAGTTTACTTATTGAAGAAAGCAAACTTATTGGACGGTAGCTAGAAGCTTCAGCTGGATTTTTATCCGGCTTCAAAATTGGAACAATTTTGCATTTTTCCATTTATCAGGAAAGTATGCCAAATGGAAACATTTGTTAAATAATTTTACCAGGAAAGACAAGGTACTCTCTGGGAGTTTTTTGATGAGGATATAGAAAATTTCATCATCACCTGGAGCTTTCATATTTTGAAACTTTTTAGTTATAGACCTTACTTCGTCCAAATCAGTCCCCCAGGAATCATCAAAAATATTTTCCCGAGAGAAAATATTCAGAAAATCCCGAGCAACCTGATTCTCAATAGGACTAGTAAGACCCAAACTGAAATGATGGGAACTCTCGAATTGCTTAGCAAGTTTCTGAGCTTTTTCCAAATTTGTGATCAAAATTTTACCACCTTCTTTAAGCGCTGGAATTGGCTTTTGAGGTTTTTTCAAAATTTTTGTGAGTTTCCAAAAGCGTTTGGAACTCGGGTCTAATTTAGAAACATTATGTTCAAAAGTTTTGTTCCTCAGGGCAGAGAATCGCTTTTTAATTTGTTTTTGCAAATCCCACCAGATAACTTTCATGGCAGGATCACGTGTTCTTTGATATTGTCTCCTACGGACATTCTTAAGACGGATCAAGAGCCGAAAACATTCACTGAAAAACAGTAACAAGATCTGCCCGCTCTAATTCGTGATGCATAAGATATACAGATTTGAGTTATGGACAAAAGTTGTAGCTAATAACAAAACCTACTAAAGCTCTATACATTATTTTGCGGAATGCTGTTGATAAAAAAAGTTAGAGGCAAATGAATGTAAATGAATGCATGAAATGAATGTAAATGATTTTCCATGCCTGCTTGGAGTGGCACAACTCCAAGTAATTTTGCCAGTTCATCTTTGATCTGATCCAGGGATTCACCACTTGGCAGTCCTTTCATGACAACCTTGAACACACGTTCAGTTTTGGTGTCGTAAGTAAAAAATTTGTGCTTCTTCTCAGTAAGATACTTGAGAAGACATTTAAATCCGTCCAAGGTTTCAGCCAATACACGGCATTCACCCCGACGTCCAATTTGTAGTGAAAACTTAACTTTCACGAAACTCAAAAGTTCCATGCGAAGAGCATGGAAATCGGAAGTGGTTATCACAATAGGGCGAATCTTTTCCTTCTTGGCATTAAGCCGGGAAAGTTTACTAGAATTTTTCTTGGATGATGGATCATTCTCATCATCCGTGAGCAAATCAAATTGATTACTCAAATTAATTACATCAGAAGGGGGGTCAAGAGTTTGCCCCTTTCTTTTGCGTTTAGGCGCCATGGCGGCAGTAAATTTTTATCCAAATCGACTTCCAAGCAGATTACTATAAGAATCTGAAGGATCGAAGAGGAATTTTCCAAATCGATATACAAGAAGGATTACCTCGGGTAGGGTCCAAACAAGGATCGAAGAGGAATAAGAGTTGAACAAGGTAGAACATTTTTTACAGGTTGAGCACTGAAAAGTGCTGTTTAAATTTGTTGTAGCTTTAGGTAGTAGTAACACTACCTTCAGCAAAAAGCAAATAGATCCGCACGGCAAGAGAGCACGATGCGGACTGATATAGAGAGTATCATTGTGCTTGCCACACAATATACAAATTCATGCATTGGTATTGGCATCGAAAGCTCTCAATTAATAACTGTGGAAGTGCATTTAGAACACTAAGTTGAGAGCACGCAATAAGCTAATATGCGGCTATAAGCAATAAGCTTGAAATGCGAACAAGAAGAAGAAGATATAAATACACTCAGGTCTTTTTTTTACACGGGGGATATGTACCGTGTAAAAAAACCCTACGAGATTTTGATTTTTCACATGCTTAAATGTTTTTGAAAAAATCGGATTTTGATGCCATTTGTAATTATAGCATGCTATGGTCCATATAGACATATTTTAAAAATTTCTGTTTTTTACACCAAAAATTGTGTTTTTTTTTTTAAGTATACCATTCGATTACCTATAGCTTGAAACGGAAAATGTGATTGGAATCAGGTCGATAGGTTGTATCGTTGTCGAGAAATCGTTAAAAACGTACCGTGTAAATCGCGAAAAAACCGTGTAAAAAAACCGCGTAAAAAAAACCGTGTAAAAAAAGACTTCAGTTTATACATATATATTTAACTTAATTGTATTTCTCTTTTCTCATTTTCTTTTAGGCCCAAGAACGCCACGGAACTTCAGAGGATCGAATAACACGTCTTGAGGCAAACCTGGAGGAAAAGAACGCTGAAATTATGCGTTTGAATCAAAGACTGAAAATGAATGAAGAGCACAATCAAAGGTTGTCTTCGACTGTTGATAAACTGTTATCCGAGTCCAACGACCGGTTACAAGTCCATCTAAAAGAAAGGATGACAGCTCTAGAAGAGAAAAATATACTTACTCAGGAGTTAGATAAGGCAAAGAAATACGCTGAAGAACTGAATCATGAAAAGTCTGATATACTTAAAGAAATGTCAAAGAGCAGACTAGAAATGGATAACTTCAAAAGACAGTTGCTACAACAAGTATTTTATTTGTAATGACATAGCTTTTCGTCTGGTAATTACGTTTCATATTCGTACTTTTTGCAGGAAATAGCGTTTAACATTCAACAAACAGAAGCTTTAACCAGAAGTTTATCCCCTACGAATGGATCTGATGCAGACAACTTCTCCAGAAGTGCATCACATGCTAGTTTCGATGCCCTAAGTATAAGACGGAAAAAACAACTTCTCGAGGAAGAACAATTTAGTAGATCCCTGGCTGACCAAGACTGGGGCAAAATTCAACAAATGGCAGTAGCACAAAACTTCGATGGCAGTGTCGTCGATGGGGATGACACAGAAAGTTTATTCAGTACTGCCGACATAATGTCTCCTAGCGGTCACACAGACGCCCAGACACTTGCCCTGATGTTGCAGGAACAATTAGACGCTATAAATAATGAAATAAGGTAATTTTACCATCCTACCAATAAAATCCAAACCTTATGAAACCAGGAGGAATGTGCTGCAAAATCAGCCTACTAATCATCCGTGGACGATTTTGGTTCCAAACAATAACAAACCATGTTGCTTGTTTTGAACCAACTTCAAGTCCTCACTTCATCGGCGACGATTGCTCGTATTTGACAGCCCCCCCGAGCAAAGCTGAACATCAAATTGAAATCAAAATTTGCTGTTATGATGTAACTTATTTTGAATACTCCAGTTGATCTCATTTTGGTTGACTTAACGGTTAACACAGCAAAAATGAGAGCAAAATTTTACACTGTTGAAGCAAACGGAAAACTAATCCTGCTTTCAATGAAATCAATTTGATTACTGATTTTGCATTCATAATGTTTAACTGAATACGGGCCTAGAGTAAATGGTTACCATTCATGTTTCTCAAGCTGAAAGACTTAGGCTCCAATCTCACCGCGGGCAAGTCACGAATGACCTAAAATGTGTTAAACAAATCAGATAAACGATAATCATTAGTTCAACGACAGATGAATTTCAATTAAATTTTAAACAAGACGTAAACAGCAGAACTTCAAGTTAAGTTGCTTTCATTTAAAACGTCTTGACTGCATAATGAAAGCACAATATGATATCAGACTTATGTCGCAACATTTGAAATCAAAATGAGTTTTCATTATGATAGGAACTGCACACTTTAATATCGATTTGCTTTCATTTTGTTAACCGACTTTGCTCGGGCCACCCCTCACTTTATGAAAAACATCTACCTGTCATGTTTTGTAATAAGATTTACAAACAAGATAATTAAATAGGGTAAAGAACTACTTCGGCCTAATCGCCCATTTTGTGCCTATCGAGCAGAAAACTTCAAATAAATCCATGATTCCAGAGTTAAGAAGTCAATTATGCGTTTGGTACGATACTTTAGTTAATAAGCTACGGAACGAAGTAAATGAGAACCCATTATTCCCAAAAACAAAAGAAGAGCTCCGACCGAATCATTTTCTCAATTCCTACTTTTTCATATGGAACTGATATGGGAGTATATGCAGTACACCCAGACAACCAGACTGTACGTATATTCAAAGTTGTTTCTGTGATATACAAACATACATACAAACAAACAAATCGTATAGAATGCAAAAAAAGGGCCTATACCTACAAAAGTGGAGGCCATATACGTGCAAATTTAAATTTCTTTTTAAATGAGTTGATTTGACATTATATACGATTCAATCTGTAATAACAAATTCAATTTGAAAAACCTTACGATGTAATCCGATTCAATTTGTGATACAGTACGATGAAAAAAAGATTCGTCGTATATAAGTCGGAAATTTGCATTCTATACGATTTAACTTAAACATAATGCGATGTATGTCATACTTATATGCGATGTTGACTTAAACTGTAGTTATTTACGATACTTTCTGTACATTGTTATACGACTTCTGGTTGTCTGGGCAGTCAACCCTCCATTTCTCGATGTTCTATATCTCGATATTTCTTTCAATTTGGATAGTTTGAGTTTTGATAGTTTTGATAGTTTATTCCTCTATCTCGCTGGACCCTAGAGAATATTTGGGAATAACTAACTCTCCATATGTCGATGGAAAAATCTTGTTAACTACACGCAGAGTAATGATTTTTAAATTCAAATGGATATATTTTTGGCTCAGGGCCTAATATATTTTTGGTATTGATTCTAATATATTATTCGGTTAATTCAAAGAAAAATATTTTTGAATCAATAAACAGATTGAAGAGTCAATACTCTGTTTGTTGATTCTAAAAACCATTTTGTTGATTCAATTTTTTTTTTTGTTGAAATAGTGATACAATATGTTTGAAACAAAAACAAAATACATTAGGCCCTGAAAAAAAAATTTATTTTTCTGCGTGTAGTTTTGTCTACGTTTCCGATCCATATACCGAAGTGCTTCAATAAACGTACTAGTGGGGTAATAAACTACTGCTTTGAATGTCAATCTCTCCCTATCTCGATGGTCCCATTAATATTGTGAGATGGAAAGTTGACTCGAACATTTCGAGGTGCGATTAATAGTGCGGAAACACTAATAAATGCGCTTTTACGATAAATTTATTTGGTGTCACCGGCGCACCTTTCATAAGGAAAAAGAAGATACCAAGATACGTAAAACCGCACTTGCCGCACACAGCCGAATTTATTGCGATGAAATTTTACGATTGTTTGTGTTAATGACAGGGAGCGGGACACCTTGGCCGAATATACCTATCATTTTCTTGAATAAGAATAAAAATAAACAAAAATTATCCATAGATCAAACATTGTTCAGCACACAAAATCCAGCCTTTTATGTGTATTAGTTATGAAACTACTTCAATATTTGGATATTTAGAAATACATGATGATATTTTCAAATATATCTAAGAAGATTTGCTCCTTGATTCATGATTAAACATTGACGGTTGAGTAAAATTATAATAATAACCCGTTTTAATTTAATAAAATTATGACTGAGAAACAAGATTATAAAGCCTACAAACAATGTTCTTCGTTTATTGGATATAATGAACGATTGAAAATGGTTGAAAATATATCTATCAATTCTTGGCCAATAATTGAAAAGGGCCTATCAGCTTTTGTAAACAATTTCTTCGCAAACAGAAGGCCGCCCACGCAAATCAATTTCATTGTGGTGTAGGGGAAAGTTTACCCTATCCGATGACGCTGTTGGTATGCGTGGGCATCCTACTTTATGCGAGGAAAGGGCTTATAAAGTTTTGTGTACAAAAGCTGATAGGCCCTTTTAAATTAGATGTCGAGAATTTTTGACAAGCGATGAACATGTCAGCTAAAATTAAATTGTTTAACTTTAAATTTCTACCTAACATATATTCCTCATCCGCTTAGGCTGAGAATCTGGATTTCCCTGTACAACTGAACAAGGATTATGAGAAGAAAAAAAAACAAACTACAGATTGATGCATAAATAAACTGATTAATATTTTTTATTAATTGCAATAAATTTTCCTTTTTATTTTACAGGTTAATTCAAGAAGAAAAACAGTCAACTGAGGCTCGTGCTGAAGAGCTGGAATCTCGGGTTGGAAGCCTTGAACATATGAATTTACTCGCGAGAGGTAGATCAATGGATAGACAAAGTCCACCGTTAAGTGGACGAAGCACCCCCAACAGTCCAAATCGTGACTACCTTCACAAATATCACACAGTAAGTTATCGCAATAAGCATTACATATCATCCGTTTTTAAAAGTTACGATATGTTTTGACAAGTATTATATTAGTAGAAAAACAACATTCCTATTGAATATAGCATATGGGAATTCAATTGGCCATAATTGAAACACACCATATTAGGAACGCACAGTCTACACGTTCCTATTATGGCGTGTCAAAATATTGAATTCCCATATTGCCCATATTCCTATATTCCCAATTGAATTCCTATATGCCATAATTGAAACATAGCAAAATGGGAACGTATAGCCATTAGCTTCATATGAACATATTATATCACTGAGGAAATAAGAATTACGATTTTCATAATATGTTTCGTATGAACAAGCATTTTGAGCTCTGGAAATAGTTTCATACGACACGTATGTTATTCATAGCATGCGTATGAAAATTACATGACTCAAAAATGATTCCCATACGAAATGAGTCTAAATTTCATACGAGGCTGCAATGAACTTTAAGAGTTGATCTTGTGTGACAAAAATCATACGTCGTTCGTATGAAACGCTGTTCAAAACAAAACAATATGGCGTACGAATCGAAATTACTAGCGTATGTTAAAGTTTCGGCGGAAACTTGGGCTGTATTGAGAGGTAAAAACGCTGAATTCTAAATAATTTTCCGGATCCTACCTACATATTTAAAATTATAGAGTGTATGGCTTTAATAACAACCATTATCGCGTACTGGTAGATCCAGAAGAGCGATTTGATTTGGACGTGAATTGCATAATGACTAGAACAAAACGTAAGAAGGTAATGTAAAGATTATTTCAAATATTTACTATCAATGTGTCCACAGAATCTGCCTAACATCAAAATACTGCGGTTACTGCAATTCTGTTGCGATAACGGACATAACTGAGTTAAAGTTGGAACCAGTGGCATCAATAGCCAGGCAGATTGTAGTCCCAGCACTTAAAATTTTAAAGGTAATTTTTGAGTGATGTTGTTTATAATACAAAAACTCAAATGCAACGCAAACTAAAATTTTTCTTTGTTTAAAAAATAAATATGAATTTATGATTACATGTATCTAATTAATTTGCAAGAAAAAAACTACAAATAGCTACAATGAATTTCATAGTTGATTCGATTGCTTTTCGTATTCCTCTCGTTTCTAATTCATACGAATGAAACGTAAATTTCATACTCATAACGTATCATTTTCATACGACACATTTATGAAATCCATATGTGTCTACTGCAAAAAACATAAATGATAACAAAGGTGCGCGTTCATATTTCTATCGTATAAAATTCAAAATAAATTCTTTTGGTTAAATTCCATAAACATTTCGTATGAAATTCCAACGAATTATTTCCTCAGTGTAGTACATTAGGGTGCTTGGTTTAGAAGAAAGTATTTGCAATCTTATAGGCAACAGTTTAATTCCCAAACCCAAAATATTAGTCTGTGAAAAAAATGGTAAAGATTGATCAAGGATTAGAGGTCACGTACACACTTAGATTGTTTTGCCGAGATGGGCACCACCGAGCAGCTTGGTATTTTATTTTACTGGATTTCAGTGATAAATTTGCCGAGATTCAGCCAAATTTATGTTTGTTAGCTGAATCTCGGCAAGTTTACCACTGAGATCCAGCAAAATAAAATGCCGACCCAAGTAACCAAAAGTTCTGATAAAAGGCTATGTGTGGCTTAAGCAGCTTGGTTGAAGGTGGTCTATATAATTCTAAGCAGCCTCATTTTTAAGTCGTTATAAGAACTTGAAAGTTTCGGTACAATAATTGAAGAGCATTCTAAGCAGCTTCTGGCGGAACTTGAACGCAACTTTTAGAAGATAAATTAAAAAAGATTTTTGTCCTCTACACAAATTCTATATTTAGTTCGCACTTTTATGAAAGTTATTGCTAAAGGAAGGTATTAATGTGTATTGATTCTTATCAGCATTAGTAGTAGAATTGGAGCTGTTTGAAGAATTAAACCCTGTCCTTCTGCTTGAGAGCCCCAGCACGAACCGCTACGTCATCTGAGATATATTAAAGTGAGCTGTTGTCCCGCCTACTGTTGGAGTTTTCAGTGCCAGCTGACTGACTTGAATACGAAACACAACACCTTAATGAATTTTAAATTGATATTCCAACACACTTGTGGCGCAGTGGTTAGCAATCGTAGATCGCATGCCGAATACACGAGTTCGATTTTTTTTATGTTTGGATAGAATGTTGATGCTCTGCATTAATATAAGAATTATGATTTATTCGGGCCACTGATCATTTCATATTTACGTACATTGAATTTTGTTACTAGTAAAGACTTGTGCGGATTGCTTCATGTGGCTTGAAAGTTCTGTCGGAACTTTATTTGAAATTTATGGAATTTGAAAGTTCTGTCGGGACTTTATTCGAACTTTATGGAACTTGAAAGTTCTGTAGGAACTTTATGGAACTTGATGTAATGTCAGCTAAAATGCCGCTAATTTGGGACCATACATAAATTCAGCAATCGAAATAAATTTTCAATCGCGACCAAATATATCTATTAGTACCGTCCCAATGACGCGTTCATCTAGATAAAATTGATAAATAGCAGATTTTTAGCGATGGGCCAAATCTTAGATCCATAGGCCAACATTAGAGCCATTTCCCCTATCCCTCTAATTTTGGTTCTAGTAGTACAAAATACTATGCGGTTGGTATGACAATAACCAACAAAATGTAAAAAAATGACAAAATAGAGAAAATTAATAGTTTAACATGTGCCTGAAAACAAATCTAATTGCATAACAAAAACCGGAGCTGGAACAAGTATCCCGATACCTTAAATTGGTATGGATAAACCTGACATAAGAGGTAAAATACAAAAAAAAAATGTTGCAACAATACCATCTTCTTCTTCTTCTTCTTCTTCGCATTTCAAGCTTATTGCTTATCGCATATTAGCTTATTGCGTGCTCTCAACTTAGTGTTCTAGTTCTAGATGCACTTCCACAGTTATTAAATTGAGAGCTTTCAATGCCTGTACCAACGGCGCCGGTGGTGTAGTGGTAAGCGTGATTACCTCTCACCCCAGCAGGCCTGGGTTCAATCCCAGTCGGCGCCGCCGGGATGTTCTGAGGCATAACATCTCTGATCACGCCTTCCTTCGGATGGGAAGTAAAGCCGTTGGTCCCCGGTTCATGAGTTGATGGGTCGATAGGTAGGGTCCAGGTGTGGGAGCTGCCTTCCTGGCACGTCGGTAGCATTGGTGCTCAGCACGGAAAACAAGATCGACGGAAAAAACAAACCAAAGGAATGCCTGTACCATTTTTACATTAGTATAATTGTGTGGCAAGTACAATCATACTAGTATACTCTATTGCCCAGGGAAGTCGAGAAATTTTCCAACCCGAAAATTTCTAGACCGGACCGGGAATCGAGCCCAGCCACCTCCAGCATGGTTTTGCTTTGTAGCTGCGCCTTTACCGACTGAGCTAAGGGAGGCCCCTGCAAGAATATAATGCCAATACCAAATTATGCAAATGCAGTCCAAAAACAATATTTATTTATTTATTTATTTCATCAACCGATGTAGACTAGTACAAATACATATACAAATTTGTTTTTCTTAAGAATATTAAAAAATATATTGTCAGCTATTATATTTTTACTTCCTACGAGTTATGATTCCGTATGGAGTTAAAATATTGTTTTAGTTTATGCCGAGACATTGAAAAGTCAATGGTTTCGCAGTATTGATTGTAAGACGCCATCATGCGATTTAATGGCCCAAATTTTGCATAATTTGTGCGATGATGGGTTACGGCAAATAAATTTCGATTTCTGAGTTGTCGAGTAGGTACATAAAAATTTAATTTTGATAAAAGTTCTGCTGAGTTAATGCGCTGCGAAACGATATCGTTTACAAACGAAACCATTGCATATTCACGACGCTCTTTTAATGTTTGTATGTTTATAAGCATGCAGCGTGCTTCATATGATGGAAGAGGAAATGATGTCCAACCTAATTTACGAAGGGCATATAATAGAAATTGCTTTTGTACTGATTCTAATCTTTCTTCGTGCGTGATTGAAAATGGAGACCATACAATGCTGCAATATTCCAGTATTGACCTCACATAGGCAATATATAGTGTTTTAATTGTGTATGGGTCCTGAAAGTTATAGCAAAAGCACTTGATAAAGCCTAGCATGTTATTTGCCCTGTTAATAATTGTATTGTAATGGTCTATGAAAGTTAGTTTGGAGTCTAAGATAATCCCTAAATCCCTGACTCTTTCACATTTTTCTACATTCTGATTTCCTAATGCAATTGAAATGTTTGATGGTGTTCTTTTTCTGCTAAATGATATTAAGTTGCATTTTTTTACATTCAGTTCTAATAGGCTTTTTTTACACCATGTGTAGAATATGTGTATTTCACTCTGGAATATATTGATGTCTTCATCATTTTTTATTTCCAAAAAGAGCTTCATGTCGTCGGCATAGATTAGCAATTTTATTTTTTTGAGAATGAAGGAAATGTCGTTTACGTACAGAATAAAAAGAAGAGGTCCCAGATGAGAGCCTTGCGGGACTCCTGAGGTGACTTGAATTGGGGTCGATTTCTTTCCGTTGAATTTAATTATTTGTTGGCGGTTAGTTAAATATGATTCAAGCCATTTCAGGAGTCCTGGCTCAATTCCAATTTTTTTCAATTTGAAAAGAAGCATTGGTATGTCAATTCGGTCAAATGCCTTGCTAAAGTCTGTATAGAGAGCTTCTACGTGGTTTCCATTATCCATTGCATTTAATGAATAGTCTATAAATTCAAGTAAATTTGTCGAGGTCGAACGTCCTTTAAAGAAGCCGTGTTGCATGTCAGTAATTCTATTTTTGGTTTGAAGAAATAATTTTTCATTTACAATTGCCTCGAAAAGCTTTGGAATGCAAGAGATAATGGCTATTCCACGATAATTACGTACGTCAGATTTTCGGCCAGATTTAAAAATAGGTACTAAAAATGAGCTTTTCCATATTTTTGGGAAGGTTCCGGATTCCAGTGACATATTAAAAAGCCAAAACAATGGAGCAGTGAGTTCCATTGC